TACTACTGCTACTACTACTACTATGTGCCATTGCCACGGATCCTTCCGCAAGATTTCGGATGTATACCATCCAGGCACCAAAATCCTTCAAGAGTCGACCCCCCGGAGTGTCGACCTGGTTGATGGAGATCACCTGGGTGCTTTTCAATAACATGGGTTCTCGCTTGCGGAGGCCCCGAGAAGGGCAAGTTTTTAGGGTTTTGGTTTAGGGTCTAGGGTTTAAAGGTTTCATTGTTGGAGGACTTTACAGCTGAAGAATGGCCGCAGGTTCTTAACTTTGAGAAATGCCCACCTCCTTGTTTAAAAGCAGCTCCCTCTGCAGCGGAGTGATGGATGGTCTGCAGGTGCCAGGTGTGAAGTTTGCTGCAATTTGATCTGTTTTGGAGCAGTTCCTGCAGGGGAACTATATAGGCTTTCGGCTTAACACCACAACATGAATTTTCCAGACACGCCGGTGTGGGTGTGGGGTGAACACAAAACGAAATCGTTTCCAAAACCCTAAACCCTAAATCCTAAACCCTAAACCCTAAACCCTCAACCAAGGTGCAACAGCGGAGTCGTAATGATCAGAGGCGAAGCCAGGATGGCCCACATGCTCACCTCTGGAAGTTCTCGAAACAGGGAGGCATCTGCATAGATGCACACAAAGGATATCAAGGGGGTACACCATTGAGGGGATCCCTCTTGCGTATTTTGTAGATTTGCAGGGTTCACTTTGGAACGTTCCCACCTCTGTTCGATACTCTTCTTTGGTCATGTTTCCAGTCTTGCCATTGGCGTGAGCAGCCTGCCGGTAATTTCCGGTCTCCAGCATGTCCATGTCATTCCATGCATAAGGACGTCCTGCATCAGCCTCAGGAATCTGCGATCTTTCCGCGATCACCTTCTTGGTGTCCTGCCAGAGGGGAACATGGTCCCCAGTGGCCCTCCAGGACTGCGCAACCTTGGGACCCCAGGTCCAGGGGGCAGCTTTTCCCCACTCGCACATGTTGAAGTGGATAGGATGGCCAGTTGCGTTGAGGGCCTTGGAGAAAGCTGTGTAGGTGGGCTCCGGCTCCATACCATCACTGAAGCACCAGTCCATCTTCACCACATCCACACCCCACTCTGCAAACACAGCAGCGTCTTGGGTGAAGTGACCCTTGGATCCGGGCCTTCGACCCACACAGGTATAGGTCCCAGCACAAGTGTAGAGCCCAAAGGTCAGGCCCTTGGAATGCGCGTAGTCTACGATGGGTTTCATGCCGTTGGGAAAGTGCTGCCGGTCTGCCTGCAGGAAGCCTGATGCATTCCTCTCATGGTCTGCCCAGCAATCGTCCAAGTGAAAGTGTCGGTAGCCGGCGTCGTAAAGACCCACCTCAGGCTTCAAACAGGCAGATGTCTTAGCAACCCAGAAGCTTTCTCAAGTCCCGAAAGCCTCGTGAAACGCGTCAACAGAGAGCTTCACGCTAACCTCATCGCAGAAGTCAAACTCCGGTGCTTGGCCCCCAGGGCCTGGCCACTGCCGGCCTAGGCCAACCCAGCTGGACCAACCCAGGGGCGGCAGGCGCGAGTGTGGGGCCCCGTTGTCGTAACCCCAGGAGAGCTGCAGGCGCAAGCATGCCAGCAAATATCCACGCTTCATGGCGGACACACACTCTGGGGCTTGAGATCTTGAAAGGGGGCTGCTGTTCGAGACACTTCAAAAGGAGACTGCTGAGGTGCTACAGGCAAACCCGCTTGAAGGACGAGAAAGACGGAGCAGAAGCCAAGGATTGCCACCAAAGATGAGCAGCTTTCTCGGCTTAAGGATGAATGCCTAGGGTTCGGATTTTAATCCTAAAGTCGACCTTGGCCCTGAGCGTTGGGCATGAATAGAAAGAAGCTTCGGGCTTGAGGTTCCGAACTAAAAAACATCTCAGGCGCTTCTGTCAGCAAAGCAAGCAGCTGCATGGTCTTCTGGAATTTGCAAGCTTCAACTGACACATACTCAATGCGCAGGCCATTCCTCTTAGCAAAATTTCCAATATCCGAAACTTACCTTTTGACGCCCAAGGCATGAGTCCCAGAACTCTGCCTATGGCCTGCCAGGCGGAACGTCCCCACAGGAGGGAGGCAGCGTACAAACCTCCGCGGCAATCGGATGGGCAAAATTCTTGGCAACAAGGGCAAGCTCATGCACGAACACTATGGAATGATCCAAGTATGGAAACCGGGGGATTGGAGAGAAACACCCCAGCAAAGTCTGCTGTTGCTCGGCGTTGCAAGGAACGTCCACGCAATACGGTCAAACTACTGAAATCCGGGGCAAGAAAAAGCACCGCTCCTCTTAGCTGGCTGGGATGACACATAATGTCATTCGTTGTGGAGACCTCTGTCTGCCAAGGTGCAGTTCCTGGTATTCCTGTAGAAGGTGCCCTTTCCACTCGGATCGAGACTTTTTACGTTCATATCTGGGAGCTGCAGCTTTGATCAGCTGCTGGTTGCGTCGCAGGATCGGCGCCAGACTTGTCGGCTGCTCCTGACTCTGCTGGTCAACATCCACCTCTGCCCTTGTATCCACAAGGCAAGCTCGGCCACCACCAAAAGACATAAACATCTCTCACTTCTTGTACCTCTCAGAGCCTGCTTTCGGCTTGCAACCTTTGGCTACCAAGCGTTCCAACCTTGTATGTTGGAGCCTCAGAGGCTTCACATTGCGTCGCTTAGGTACCAAGCTGTCTGCAATCGTTTCCGGGCCCAGATCCTGTATGCTGCTGCTCTGAAGGCTGAGGGTTTCATTCGAGGGGCAGTTGCTCAACATCTGACTGATGGCCTGCACGCCTTATTCGCCAATGTTGCGGGGATATGCAGCGATCCTGCACCCACAATCAGAAAGAGCACTTGCTGAAGGCACATAAGCTCCGATCTGAAAAACAGTGAAATGTCAGTAGTGTCAGGAGCAGACGCGGATATAGTCATTGCGTCCATAAAACTAGAACAACTTTACAAACATTTGCAATGGTGCATGTCACCCGTCAAGTGCTTAGGTGAACTTACTCTTGCCCCCTCTCCAAACGCCCAGCACAGCCCCCCGGCAGACCTGGCACACGGCACATGCCACGTTGGAGGTTGTAAGCCTGGGTGGTCTGCTCCATGCCATGGACAGCTGTCGAAAGTAACGATCTTTGTTGGTACCATACCTTCTTCGGATCAATGATATAGAAGAACCAGCAATGGTGGCCTCGTTTTGAAACAGCCCATCTACTGGATGGCCAGCATAACATCTGAGAATATGTTGTTACAATATTTCAACATCAACAATTACCATGATTCTGGCAGGCAAGTTGGTAGTTGGACAGATAGACAGCAGTAGCACCAGTCCAAGGTGCAGTAGTTAAAGGGAGTAAATATAGGGACCCCGGGAGGTATATACCTACTCTATTCTTGGGCTGCCCTTTGTGAGGGGTTCCGAGTATAGTAGCGGTCATGGAATGGTCAGACACACACTCAAACACAGAGCGGCTTTGACTCGCACATGTAGGAGTCGTGCTAACTCTACTGGTGAAACCCTTACTTGGAGGCCTGGGATGTAGGTACCCCAAGTAAGCTTGCTTTTTAAGCTCTCCAACTGAGACCTCAACTTATAACTAGCAGTGAGCCTCCAAGTAAGTCCAGCTACTCAGGTCGTAGTTTGACCTGGTCAGGACCAGGAGCAATAACTTCACAGCACACTCCACATGTGACACAGCATAGATGGGACCTGAAAGAAAGAAAGGGCTTCCTAGCTGCACCCCAGTACATCATGCAACTCCGGTTGCCACAACCCCAAAGTCACGCAATGAGTCAGGAGAGCTTAGGGCTCATGGACCACATTTGTCCAGCCTGCATCATGCAGAAGAAGTCTGCAACGCCATAGCCACTTCTACGAGGCTGTTTGCAACCTGTGGCTGGTGTCTGTCTCGGGATATTTGGGATATAGCAGGATATACGGATATCTAGCGATGTTTAAGGACATATAGAGATATTTAGGGATACATGAAACTTGGCAGGGATCTAGGGAGTTTTAGGTACTTGTAATCAAACTGAAAACAAAAGGGAGAATGAAATGGCAACTTGCAATGCATGGCCGGTTGTCAAAAGTCAAACACCAAGTTGGGTCGCGCGACGCGTTTACTTGCAGGGACGACTGGGACGACATGTGTCCCGTCCATATACCACAAAATGCAAAGAAACTCAAAATGGACCCCTCATTTTTGGCAACCAACCCCCAGAACATGCATTGCTGTGTCGTTGTTGGGGCTACTGAGAAGAGTCAAATTTGCAATACGTTAGGCTTTCTGTGAAGCTTCTCAAGAATCATCCAAATTCCCTAGACCCTACACCCTTAACCCGTAGCCCTAAACCACCAAACCATGAAAACCCATAGACCCTAAACCCCTGATCCTCTTCTCTTAACCCCAAACGCCGCACCCCGCCTCATCTTCGCGCGGCGGCGGACCGTCACCAAAAGCATGTGCCAAGTCCACGCTGCCAAGCTCAGGCAGCCTCAGGGCCTGCAGAGGTTTCAGTGCTTACCTGGGTTGCTGTTAGGGAACTCAAGTTGAGGTACCAGAATATGGATATGTAGGAAAAACTATGGTCTACTTGAAATGGTAACGTAATTCGAAATCCCAAACAGCAAGCCAGCTTATGGCTAAGAGCTCGCGGCTTCGGTTTAAGGGTCTAGGCTTGAGGACTTGTCAGGGTTCAAGGGTTAGGGCTGTGCATGGGGTATGGGAAGGGAATCCGTTGAACAGATCTCCCTTTAGAACAATCCAAATACTGCCCATGTGTTCCCTTGGAAATACCCCTGCCTTCGAGAGCAGCTGCATGGGAGAGGGCACTTCCTGCACAAGATTGGCTGCTTCATCCCTACCCAATGTCAGCCCTCCCTCCCGACCACGGTCACAAAACCTTTCCTCTTTGTTGCGGCACAGTATTGTACAGAGGAGGGGGTTTGCAGAAAAGCAGCACGACAAGACGATGGACATCCTTATCAGCTTCTGGAGGAAAACAATAGTTCAGTCATTGGGTACATTGCGGATTATGCATATGTACTTACCCTGAGTGTAGGTATTTTCATAACACTACATTCATTCCACAGAAGTACCAAAGTGTGGTCAGGCAGCACCGAAAAGTATCCCCGGAAATTCAAAGTTTACCCAATTCTCTTCGGGGATTCCCCGTTCTATGTCGGAGCGAACAAACCGCTCAGGTGGCCTTTAGGTCAAGGTCAATGTCACTGTCGTGACGAACAATGGCCGGCCTCAGCTTGAAACTCTCTAGCAGTGTTGCCCGTGGTCAGAGGATATGTATTTAGGTATTTAAGGTTTAAGATTTGGGTGGTGAAAAATGCTGTAGAAATGGGAAAGGACACCGGCCTCAATAGCCTACACTGTTGCCAGAAATTGCATTTCAGCACGCCCCCGCGTATGGCACCCACAAAGCCCTACACCTGTCCTTGTGCTTTGAGGGGCCTTAGGGCCAGGTCATAAAGTGTATCATGTGAGCCATAGTCTAAACTCCTAATACCCCCCTTAATAATTCCTATAGTAGTTCTTTATATAATGCCCTGTATAATATACTTGAAGTTTAGACTATGGCTCATGTGTATCCCAGTAGTATCTACATAATGACACAGCTGCAATTGGCTATAGTTACACGCTACCTGGCCACCTCAGTGCGTATTACCCAAGTCTCGCCCTCTGTGAAGCTTGCTTAGGCATCACCAACGATTAACAAAAGGGGAACCTCAGGGGGGCTAGTACAGGCGGTGGTCAGGAGAACCCACAGTTTGCCTCCAGGATCATTATCCACACATACGAGTTCTTCCACGGACCCGTAGTTTACGGAGCCCACCAAGAGGGACCAGCTACTAATTTCGCACACTGCCAATCCTGAACCCTGAATCCTGAATCCTAACTCCCAAACCTGACATCGCAAGCCTAAACCCTGAGACCCAAGGCATAGATCGTAAATCCTAAGCCGGAAGCCCCACACCCCCAAAGCGCACTTGCACAAGATTCCCACGTAATCCCATGCATGATCAAAGGCCGGCACAAGAGCAATCGAAGCAACTCCAGCCGGAGCGTCAACTCACTGATCTTCGGCGCCTAGGCGGTTCATCTGCAAGTATCCAAGCTACCCTACTCTCTGCGCGCATTAGTTCAGATGTCACATGTGCACTATAACAACCAAATAGGTAGTAACGGTAGCAGTAGCAATAGCAGGAGTAGGAGCAGCGGCAGCAGGCGGCAGGAGTAGTACCAGCAGTAGTAGTCCTAGTTAGCAGCAGCAGTCCTAGTAGCATTAGCAAGGATAGCAGGGCAATCCCATCACCTAGAACCCTCCGAACCCCAAGAATCTTGGAACCTAAATCCTGGACCCTAAACCCTTCATGAACCCTCCGACAACTCGGGGCTGCACTTCTGGCAGAAGCAGGGACTTGACGTGGGGCTCTGGCTGAAATTGGGACATACGCATCCCTAGTTCTCCTGGGCGCTGCTTAGGGTTTAGGATTTAGATGCTCAACTTCAAAGATCGAACTTGTTCGTGTACGAGTCCAACAATACCTAATCCCCACACTCACCCAAGGTTGCCTTAAGTTCCGGTGCTTGGTAGAACAGAAATCCCCGTCCTTACCGAGAAAAAGGGTTTCAAGCTCTCCGAAAAAATGTCGCGAGAAAACCTTTCGATGAACTGCACAGGGTACCATTCGAACCAAGCAAACACAAAACTGATGCTTTCCAGGTTGCACCCCCACCCAATAATCGTGACCACAAGGGATGTTGGCAATCTCATGGGTCCTACATTCTCCTGTACCACTATGACTGGGTGGGGGCCCAACCTAGCACAGAACCCAGTCTCTGACAGCTTCATGCTCATACTCCATGTCTCCGAAGTTGATGATGTTGCAGCGGGAGTGCCCTTCGCGTCCACTGAAGAAGTCCAGGAATTCGAGCTTCATGGCATGAAACTTTGCGGCGGACATCTCGACAAACTTGAAGCGCTGCGTATCCTCATGCGGACCCGAAAGGGGGGGGACGTGACGTAGGGAACTTACAGGCTTCAGCTTAGGACTAATGAAGGCCAAGTCAGAGGCCTTATGTCCCTTACAGCCGCCTTTGCAGACCTCCGAACTCCCCATGCTACCCTAAACCCTAAGCCCTAAAACCCTAAAACCCTAAACCCTTAAACCCTTAAACCCTTAAACCCTTAAACCGCCTCTTCATCCCAATAGGCATCGATGTGCTTGGCAGGGATCACGCTATCATCCTGGTGCCTCACCTTCTTACGAAGTCGCAAGGCCTTCAGAACTTCCTTGGCGTACAAAACCTGGCCGATCATGGCTGAAGTCAGAAAAGAGGGGTGAATATCATATGGGTGGTTGTCCAAATTATGGTCCCTTTTTGGGTACCCTAAATACTAGGTGCCGTATTATAATAGGGATCCAAAAAGGGGCCATAATTTTGACAACCACCCATATCATTCTTGTATTTTCATCTCATATTATATCATCTTATACAGTGATAGCAATATAGAACGAACTGCGATGTGGCTGAATACTGTTCCTTGGCCGAACATCACCCTCCCACCAAATAGCATTTCAAGTGGCCTCCCTTTAAACGGCTCCCGTGGTACTTGCGCAGAACATGGAGAGGGGTCCCAAAATTCGGGGTTATATACGAGGAGTTATCTAGGGTTCAGGGTTTCCCGAAATGAGGTGTACTTTTTGGGGGTCCCCATAACAAGACTATAATATTTTGGGGTCGGGTGCCTCTTATTTCAGGAAACTACAACATGTTGCTAACAACCACCCAGGGGACGGTGGGACCGCCTGCGGAAGCAAAAAGGGAAATCAGGTCTGGCGCAAAGCGTTTCAGGCAGTTCTGGACCCAGCGGCTTTGCGCGTTGGTCACCTGGGTTGCTAAGGAAGTTCAATGAAACTACCACAATGACACTGTGGGTACCTAGGCAGTAAACTATGGCGCTCGTTTAGCTTAGACCCTATACCCCATAATAATCCTAGTTTCCATTTCATTTTCCATTTTCTTTTCCATTTGATTCTCCATTATAGTAGATTCCAATTTCTTTTCCATTATCCAACCTGAATAGCAACCCAGTCACTATAACGCAGGATCCCGAGTATTCCACGCAGGCCTTCATAAAACGTTGCAAGGACTCGCCCCATGCCCGTAGCAGCTCCGCTTGCTCCGGGCTGATTTCGGAGTCTTTGTCAGCCTCGTGCTGCAAGCCCCAGCGGTCAAAAATCTCGGTGGATGGGAACCTTGCTCAAGCTTCGGTCGGAATGGAAGAACGAAAAATGAAAAGTAGCGTCTAGGAGATAGGAAATAGAAAAGAAAATGAAAGCTACTAAGCTCCGGGGGATGTTAAACACAGGCATCCCTTCCCTCGTGCCCAGCTAAGCCTGAGAAGCAAGGTGTCATCCCAATCGAGGTATATCAGCGTGGAGGATGTGTCCAGCACCGGCGATGCATGTCCAGCACAGCTTGCGGAACTTGAGCTATAGGAGCTCCATTGGACGCTCCCCGCCGCTGTGGTGTCCTGAGAGGTCATGGCTGTAAATCTCCTGAAAACAAGTAAGCCAACTCCTCATGGCAAGGGCCATGGACACTACACATAAGAAGAAGGAAGACCGTTGTGCTGTAAGCCAAACCCGCAACCTAAACCGCAAACACCCGCAGATACAACAATAAAACAACCAAAATAAAAAGCTTCCCACATACAGCTCTGTGTCTAAGCTGGCCCCTCGCGACTGTAGGTTGAAGGCCTTCAAAGGGAGAGATGGATTTACAACATGGAAGAGTTTAGGGGGGACCCTAAACCTTGGGACCTTGCAGGGAGCTATGGGGATATGTGGGCCTTGGGGATTGGACGTTAGGGAATTGGGCCTTAGGGCTTAGGGCTTAGGATCTAGCAGCTGGGGTTGAGAGGTTCAGGATTTCACGTGCAAGTGTGTGGGTGGTTGTCAAAATTATGATCCGTTTTGGGTACCCTAAACATCAGGTGCCGAATTATAACAGGGAACCAAAAAGGGACCACAATTTTGACAACCACCCGTGTAATGCTTGAGGTTGGAATCTCAAAAGTTGAGGGGCTTCGTGCGAAAAACGTAATGTCTGCAGTTTTTGGGCTTGGGGGTATACATTAGGTGGACCCCCCACCCAGTAATAGTGACTATTATGGACAATAAGAATTATATCAGGGTCCTCTCATATTCCTATTAAATCACTATTACAGGGTTGGGGGTCCTCCTAAGGTATACAGCTGAAGGCCTTCGTAGGGCAGGTCGGCCGCCGCGGCACGCTATCAGCCGCCATGGCAAAAAAGAGGAGCCTAAACCCTCACCTAACTGGCTTAGCAGGAACATTTCCACACGTAAATTGGCTTAGTTTAGCAGGAACCTTACTACACAGAATGTATCAGGATCATGTACGTGGGGCCAACCCCAAAACCACCCTTGCATGGAGGGTGTTGATAATTAACATCTTAGCAGCCGCTGGCAAAAGGGGAAACTAAACATCTGAGGGCCGCGAGCAGCATGGTCAGCGCATCTAGGTTGGATACTTCCCTCACCCTATAACAGCCCGCCAATACAGAGGTTTGCAAAAGCTAGGGGTCCTATAGTAAGGACCACAGTGACTGCAGTATATTGGGTCGATAATTGGAACCCATTTGTTGAAACTATTCTGTCTATTGCCACTGTAAGTTGGCAACCTCAGACTCAAATAAACTATAGTCTAAACTCCTAGTACCCTCCTTCATAGCCCCTACACTACTCCCCTGTATAATCCCTATATAACCCCTTTCAAGGAGTTTTAGACAATGGCTCACATAAAACCTAGCTATCGCAATAATAGTTCTTGGTCCCATAGCCCTCGACTTTCAGACATATGGCAGTTTCCATAGATAGGGGGACCCCAATAGAGACCCCAAAAGCGCTACAACTCTCATTATGGGAACCGCTGAAAAGGTACCCCTGATTTTGGGAAACCCTAAGCCCCACACCCTATAAAACCAATATATAACCCTTATATAACCCCTATACCCGGATTCATAAAACCTTCACATAACCCTTATGTAACCCTATTCTCCTACAGCCATACTGTCCTTAGCCTAAGTCCTTCATGCAAAACATCCTCATCGGCAGCGACTGAGGCTCCATCCAGCTTGGTGACGATGGAGCCGACCCATGGGCACTCTTCGAAGCTTGCCCACACCCTCAACCCTACACCTTAAAAACCTTAACTGCTAAAAACCTACAAGCTACGGCAGCACATCCAAGGATCTGACCACGCGTTGCTCTGCTATCCAGTAGCTGTTTACTGTTCTTACGCTGACAACCACTGAGTTTTCAACCACTGTTCTGGGACTGCGATACGCTGTGCATTGGGCTTATCCTTTCTGAGTCTGCTTTTAAAGTTGCTTAAGCGTTATGATAATCATCACAAGAATGCACAAACTTCCGCGACCGCCTCAGTCTGTCCTCAACCAAGGGTGGCCCACTTACTGCATGGACCTTGTTCTAGCCCTCGAGCCAAGAAACTACTGCTGCAAACGATTCAGCCATGGACAACGCATCAAAGATGAATTGAGTCCGGTCCAATCCGCGTCGCATGGCAAAACGGATTGGGGTCTAGTTCCAGTCATAAAGCAATTCGACTCCAGCCGTGGGATTGGCAGCCTACAGAATTCCGCTGCAGGTCCTGCATTCTCTCATACTCCAGAAGCACCCCGTACTGCTGAAGAAGGTTGCCAATCTCATCTTCCTGCTCCTGTAAAGCCAGGTCACAGAGGAAAAGAGAGTTGCAGTTCCCACTACATCCAAGATAAATGGAGGATTCCCAAAATTATGGGTACCATTTTGGGGATCCCTATAATAAGGACTATAATATTGTGGGGTCTATATTGGGGAAATTACCGTTTAGGCTTAGGGTCTAGGGTTTAGGATTTAGGGGTCTACAGGGTATAGGGTTTAGAGTACAGGGGTTTAGGGTCTAGGGTTCAGGATCCTGTGATGGATTCACCTACCACGTAGGAGAACCCATGAGATTCTAGCCCCCCAGGATGGGAACACAAGAAGAGGCTCTACAATGATGACCGTCCTTAATGAACTAGGGTAAACCCTAAACCCTAAACCTTGTATAGGGTTAAAGGTTTAGGGCTGAGGTTGCACCTATGGGCCCTTAACGTTATGTACCCTGTGAAGCCCCGCAAGTAAGGGCCGATGGGTAGGATCTCGCAAGCAGGTAGGGGAGCATATTAGGGGCCCATGGTGGGAACCTCAGATATGTGGAGCCTTTCGCAAATTAGGGTCCCTTGTTTGGGGGGAGTACCTATCATAAGGATCGTAACAAAGACACTGGGGTCGGGGTTTGTGCCAACTCCCATGCAAGGTTCCATGCCAATTTGAAAAGGGGGTCGGGGAACAGGATTACACTTCGAGGAACAGGGGACTGAATAAATGCACTTATGGCTTACAACCCTTAGAGTTATAAGCCAGATACTAAACCCAGTTATCCAACCTATTAACCTACTTACTAAGTCCCCCCGGCTCGAAACCCTGCCCCAGAACCCTAAATAAGATAGTAGTTTCCATTGTCCTTTCCGCTCCTTATTAAGTGACCTCCCAAGAGACTCTAAACCTAAATCTCAGATCTCGAATTAATCCCTAGCCTCCTTTTCTTTTCCATGTTCTTGTCTTGTCCATCTCGGTCTCTATTATTGGTTTAATGCTTGAATCCCGAAGTAACCCCTAAACCCTACACCCTGAAATTATGTAGTCCCCTACAGTAGCTATGGGCTCCAAAGAGCCCGAACCTGCCAGTAGGTTTCGGGTTTAAGGCTTTCAGGACTGGCGACCTTGGCCCAAAGAAGGCACACGGTTCAGGGTTCCATGTTCCCGGTTTAGGGTTGTTTGGGGTTCTTTGGAGTCCATGGCTACAGTAGGGGTCTACATATGTATATATATGTATATGTGGGACTTCTAAGCTTACACAGGGAGTCCAGTATTTGACCAGTGATGGATAATGGATAATGAAACGGAAACTGCGTTTAAAACGGGCTTGTATACGCATTATGTGAAGGGATTTGTTCACTGCAGAGACCTGACTAGATACCAACACTATTGCGAGGTCCATTTCAAGCAAACTATACCATATCATGCACGGAACATACAACCATGATATTAAAAGCCCCTATATTAGATGCTTAGGGTTCTCCTCTTGCTTGGAACTCAACCCGTCTTAGGGCTTAGCCCAAGAAGCGAAACTCTTCAGGACATGGCTGGCAGGGTTTAGGGTTTAGGGTTTAGGGGTTTAGGGTTTAGGGTTTAGGGTTCAGGGTCCTTCTACAGCAGGGAGGGACCAACTATTGATACTGAAATCCTGCATGACCTTGATACACTGCAATACCATACTTCTCCAGGTACAGGGTACTTGGAGTCACGCCGGAAATCTAACAAACATCCCATAAACCCCTACATGATCCCAGTTCCTGTGTCATTCCCCATTATCTTCGCCATTTGACTCTCCATTACTGAGGTACTATCCCTATAAAATCCCTGTATACCCCTTTAAAGAGACCGAGGGATTCCATTTCATGTGCCATTTCATTTTCGTTTTGCTTTTCCCTTATTGGGGGTAGTATCCCACCATAGGTTAGGCCCCATCCGTTCCACAAACCCAAACCCCAAACCTTAAACCCTAGACCCTAATTACGGTTCTTGTCATTGCAAGATCCTTGAGGTTTCGGCTTTGGGGCCATCAGCACGTCAGGGACAAGAACTGAAACTGAAACCTTTAGGCTTCAGGATTCATAGTCCCCCTTCAGTAGATAGAATATGGCTTAAGGAGAACTAGAGGTTGTAGGTGCAAAATTGTCCAAGACTTTAGGCTCGTCTGCCTCAACTTCGCAAGCATTCAACCCGACGTTCAAGTAAGGCACCACGCGGGTACCTTTACATACGGCCTTTAGGTATATAAAGGCTAGGTGCGTCTTTTATGGGGGCAACGACACCACCTATGACTTCCCCCACTCCTCCTAGTAAAAGCCTTGGAGTGCAGTAGTAAAGGGGTTTTGGCATTGGCTATAGGGTCCTAATTTTGGTGGTCCTTTTACTATATAGGGGGAAGTAATAGGGAAACCCAAGACTACCATAGAGCGTACTCCCTGCACCCCAAACTCCGGGCCCAACACCCTGAACCCCAAATTAGGACTTAAGATTTAGGATACGTAACACAATATAACCCCCTCTATACCCCCTTTAGCATATAGTAGTTTCCATTCTCTTCTCCATCATCCCAAGAACCCCTGTATATGGTACCATAGAATCGCAGCCTCCGTCTGCAAGGGCACCAACGGGTAGGTGAAGAGCGTCCATCCGAGCCTGAGGGCGAAGGAGATGCCAAGCACCACGTACATGGAGACCAGAAACCTGAAGGTCTAGGAGTCTACGGTTTAGGGTTTGGGATTCAGGGTTTAGGGTTTAAGGTTTAAGGTTTAGTGTTCAAGGTTTAAGGTCTAAGGTTTAGGGTCTAAGGTTTAGGGCTTAGGGCTTAGGGTTTTGGGTTTGGGGCTTGCCGTGGGTTTACCGAGTAAGCAGTGATGATTAGATGTCAAGGACTCTTCAAGTGCATGGATGCATGCGGAGTGCTGCCATGGCCGGACTGTAGAGGGCCATCTAACCAATCACCCACCCCGCGCCGTGTGAGGCGGCCAAACCACCCAAACCTACTCCTTTTAGAGTTTAGAACCTAAACTCAATTAGGTCCTTTGGCCAACAACACAAATACATTTCATTTGGTGTTTTCGTTGTTGAAAAATCTCAAACCTTCTTGCAGGCCCCCTGAAAAACGGTCAAAGGTTTGCACCCTGTGGAAGGCTTTCTGACAGTGCTTGAAGATTTCTAAAGCAAAAACCAATTTGGGACTGTCTTTGAAAGAAGCTCCAGCATGGCTGGCTTGGCTGGGAGACCCCTGGAAGGCGAGACGTGGGGAGGCTGTGGGCCTGACAGGTCTGGAGCTTTTGGGAGGCCCTGGAGGTTCTGGGAAGGCCTTTGTCCTGGGAGGCCCTGAAAGGCACAAATGGGAGGTTTTGAAACCGTGGAAGGCCTTGGAGCTCTTAGGGTTCAGGATTTAGGATTTAGGATTTGAGATTTAGGGTTTAGGGTTTAAGGTTGGCGGTTTAGGGTTGAGGGTGTCTCGGTGAGGGGGTGCGCTGGTGCTAGAAGCACCCAGGCGCGCACGCCGACCTGCAGGAGCCCACCCCCGCTGGCGCTCCAACCTCGCCTCAACCTTTTACGGGTGTAGGGTTCTCTCGA